GATAAACAATAGAGAACTTCATATAATACAGTAGCAGAAAATACAAGAACGTGGATAAGTTTTGGCTTATATCAGTACAGTTAAGTCTGCCAGCCTGATAGGTTTAATAGGTCTTGAGCTTTGATAGGGTACACAAGAAGTTTATGCAATACTCACACTTGAAAAGCATTTGTGTAACATTTTCCTTATAATTGGGACACTGTGGCTTAGATGTTGATCAGAAAGTTATAGGTATAACTTTGCAGGACAGTGGCCAGTTTTGTGATATTTTGATATAGTAATAGTCTTTTGCCTGCTGACATTTGTTTTTCTGCTGTCAAATTTAAGTACTGGTAACTTTATACCAACTGGCATGGTATCGCATCCCAGAAGACAGTAATCTTAAAATATTGTAATGACAAGAATAGTACTGTCTTAAGCATGTAATGGCATGTAGTCTGGTAGAATTTCAACATTTTGGAGGAAGGTTGAAGGGTAAGCCAGACAAGTAACCTGCAACAAGCAGATGGCAAGCAAAGCAAATCGTAATGTAATGTAATGTCATGTCGTGGAGCCCAGAGAGACATTTTTATGATGCACAGGTTGTTAGTGTGTGGTATATTAGGTGTGCGTATTTCAAGATACATATCGTTATATGATCATAAAATATGATGTATGCATTTTGTCTGGGCGTATATAGGTTCGGTTGTGTTCTACCTGTGTATTGGTTTGATGTAGATGTATTGCACAACATTTTTCATGATGGTTGTCATATGTGGCTATCAGCATTGCGCCAGTTCTTGATTATATATGTATGTAATTTAAAATTGCTGAAATTTTTTGTGTGAAAATACTGATTATTAGGCATCCTAAGATGTACCAGGCCAGTGATGAGTGCCTCTGCTAGTCAACACTTTCATGCCCATCAACTCATCTGTTGGATTACTTTCCAGCCCACAGACTATTCAAAATACAGTAGCAGTTTGCAGTGTTACAGAGTAGAGACACAGTAAATGATGTACATATATATACAAGAAACCACAAAAGGTAGTAGCTACATGACCATCCAGTGACAGGAAAAAAGCATGTGCTCATATTTTCTTTTGAAAAAGAAATATTTTATGTGTAAGATCCAGGATAGCTGAGTCAGTGTAGGCATGGGCTACGGGTTGGGCGGCCAGAGTTTGACTCCTGGCAGTACAAGATTTTTCTCTTCTTAACATTGTCCAGGGGGGATGCGTAGCGTAGTTGGTTGAGGCACTATACTACAAGCCGGAAGGTCGCGAGTTCAAGTCCCGATGAGGTCATTGGATTTTTTTAAATTTACCTAATCCTTCCAGCCGCACTATGGCCCTGGGGTTGTCTCAGCATCTAACAGAAAGAGTACCAGGAATATTCTTGGGGGTAAATGATGGCCGGCATATAAGGCTAACAACCTTGCCGCCATCTATGAGCCAGTTGTCTTGAAAATGGAACCTCAACATGTCACAACCCTATGGGCCTCCACAGCCTGTTACAGGGATACCTTTACTTACTTTACATTGTCCAGATCAGTTCTGAGGTGCACCCAGCCTCCTGTCCAGTGGGTACCTGAGGGCAAAGTGGCCGTAGCATGAAGATGGGCACTAACCTGCATCTAGTGCCAAGGTGAAGAATGGTGGAGATATACCTCCACTCCCCCATATGTCCTCATGGTATATGTAAGAAAAGGCAAAGCTGTAACAGGCCATGGAAGCCCATAGGATTGTGGGGCATTGAGGCTCCAACATTTTCTAGACAATCGGCTCACAGATAGTGGTGAGGTTGTCAGCATTATGCGCTTGCTGCTCCTGTACCCCCATGAAGATTCCCGGTGCTCATTTCTCTTACAGGCTGAGTTTACACCAGGGCCGTAATACAGCTGGAAGGATTCGGTCAACAGAAGAATCCAGTGACTTGATCAGGAATTGAATCTGCAATCCTCATTAATTAAGCACAGGGACTTTACTACTTTTTTATTTTATGTATTGACATTTTTATGGCACCGACTGTTCATTGTGACATTCTGTGGTCTTATGGGTGAACACAAGACTACATGGTGTCACAGCCTAGACCATGAGAAATATTTTGTTTTGCCATGGCATGTTACCGTCTGACTGGACAGACATGGTAGTTTGTACAGAGCACTGATAACCTCAGATTGTGATGTTATGGCTTACTGTCCGCATTGCAGCACAATGTCTAGTCGGGAGGGAGGCAAGAAGAAGCCACTGAAAGCCCCAAAGAAGAAAGAGCAGTCGATGGCTGAGGAAGATATTGCCCACAAGCAGAAAATGAAGGAGCAGGAGAAAGCCCTGCAAGAGGCCAAGGCAAAGGCAGCACAGAAGGGTCCCCTTGTGGGCGGTGGCATCAAGAAGTCCGGCAAGAAGTGACGTGTATCATACTAATATCATTTTAATCATAAACAAGACATTTCTGAAGGTACACCTGGGTTTGCATTTCCTTGAGTTCCTGGTACATATCAGTGCACATTTTAGGTTTATCAGTTTATTGTATAACATTCCACCGTGGAGTTAAAAATGGGTGGATGAATTGTAATAAAATTTAGGACTGTGTTTTTGTAATCCCATCTGCTTTTGCTGCCAGTTCCTAGTTTTTATTTTGACAGGTAGTGTCAGCATCACCAGTGGAGTGACAGATCAGCAGATATTCAAATTCTTCTGACAGTCTTTAGGAGAGTGATACAGATATTGTGATGATTTTTTTTCTAGCCCATTCACGTCCGTAAATGCAGACATGCAGTGTCACGAAACTGATAAGTTTCACCAAGGGCGCATAAATGCCCAGTGAGTGTGTTCACATATGTTAGGGTTTCATAAAATTGGAACTGCACACTACCGCAGCCTTTTATGGGAATATATTATGTTGACATCTTGGCAGAGAAATTTCTAGCCTGTGTTGATACTCTACTGCAGTTAGAAGAGTATGCTTCATTTTGGCAAAAAGAAATCTGCTTGCGCATGGTGTGGATGGGCTAATAATGTTTTCCATCTCAATTTTTAAACATTGTCAGTGGGCCTAGGGGTAAAGGAAGCATGAGCCTATCCAGAAAAATTAGACCTGGAACACAACCTGAAGGTCAACACTTCATGTCCAAGTAACAGAATTCCTTTGTCAATTATTTCATTTAATAAGAATTAAATTAATACATTCCCTGTCATATAGTGAGCTGGGATAGCACAGTTGGTATAGCAGCTGGCTACGGACTGGACGACCAAGTGGTCTGAGTTTGAGTCCCAGTAGGATCAAGAATTTCTCTTGTCCTCACCGTTGAGACTGGCTCTTGGGCCCACCCAGCCTCCTATTCAGTGGGTACCAGGGGCTTTTTCCTTATTGGAGGCTAAAGTGGTCAGGGCTGACCACTCACCTCCAATTAGTGCCAAGGTCAAGAAAATGTGGATCTATACATCCACTCCCTCATACACCTTCATGGTGTAGTGCTCAATTAGTTAAGCACAGGGACAGCTTTACCCTTTTAGCCTGTCATGCTGTTCAGTTCATGTTAGCTAGTCATGGAGGAACCTGCTGGCTCCATCTTAAGGGTAGATGGAGGCGACAGTTTCCTTCAAAGCACTGATAAATATCTACCGGACCACACAGTGCCACATTTCCAGAAGACAGTAATCTTCAGACCAGATGTCTGATTGACAGCTTCCCCAAGAGGAGGGCACCATGTATGTCATATTGTTGAATACAGTTGTTAAATGAGGTTGCACATTGCGCTTAAGTATGGAAGATCTACTGCAGTCCATTATTCACTTGTTGAAATTACCCATGTTTGCAAAATCTCTGCTGCTAGCAGCCATTCTGAGCCATATAATTCCATCCCAACCCATGTTTCTCCAACCCTTTAGCTGCGTGGAGCAACTACAGTAAACTCTCGCCAGTCCGGATTAATTGGTGGGAGGTCATCTGAATTTGAAGGAAAAGTAGCCCTAAAAGACCTAGGAAACAAATTGAAAATGTAATGATGTGAGTAGTGCTGATGAGAATAAATAAAACATCACTCTAGTGCCTGTCAGAAGACTAGAAGCAGAACTTCAGAGTGTCCTTCGTCCAGCTCAAGCCAATCTTGGATATTTTCTGCGTTGTTTCAGTCTCAACACAGTCCGAAAGCCCTCTTTGTCCTAAATCCCATGTGTCTTATGTACTCAACTGTGAACAAAATGTTTCTTATTTCGATCCGGATTAGCGAGGGTTTACTGTATTAGCATCCAAAGTATTTGGCTCCACGAAATCTGTGTAATTAAACCGTAAAATTTCTCGAGTACTGGCGTACGTGTAGACAGTCTTTTAGTGGGCTCTTCGCCTGGGTTCCATCGCTCTAAAATATGTCTTTGTCTTCTGCGAACCAATTTGACTTCGAACGGATGGCTTCGCACCCCTTTCGTAGATGTACAGGCCATTATCATCCTTCGCTGCGTGACTTCAGCGGCTGAATTATCGTTGTTAACTGGCAGAAGTTTGTGTCCAGTTCCGTACGCACCGTATCGTATTGTTCATGTTTCTGGTTTGCTAGAGGTGGCAACGCTGTTTGTCTGCTAGGGGTCAGAGCCCCCTAGCTAGAGGGTTGCCCTCTCTTTCACAACCCTCCCAACAGACAAGAAGAAAAAACAGCTGACTAACAGGTGAAGTGGGCGCATAGCAACAGAAGCAAGGCCAGTTGTTTGGTTCTCTGGGATAGACTGCAGCGTTGGTAAATGTGGAAGTTTTATTTGTAAATAAATTCTACCCCCTACCCTACTACCTCACCATTAGCCCTGTAAGAGCTTCCCCCCCCCCCTACTGCTTCTTTCTATCTTTTCCCAGCTGCAGCCAATAGCCGTCCTCCTGTCAGTTGCACTGGGCCAGCTGACGACTAGTCTGGTCCCCAGCCCGCAGAGTTACCAACAGCGCCTGGTGCCCGTTAGCCGTAAGAAGCGTAGTGAAAGTTGGTGAAGAAGGTGGCTGATTTTGTGCGAGTAGAGTTGGTCGGCCTGCTGGCACTCGATTGTCAACAAGCTGTTCACAGCAGGCCTGCATTTCCGAGGTCGCACTGCACCGTATTGCATGAGCGTCGTGTTAGCTAGACGTCTAGATGGATTCTGCACGTTTCGTTGCCTGCTTGATGGACCCCAGCAACTCGTGGTAAGTTTCCACTTTGTTTTAAGCTCTCTGTGTGACGTTATTACAGTAATCGTTTTATGGTAGTGAAGTGTTCAAATATTTTCTCACACAGCTGTTTGCTAAATATTCATCAGCCCACGATTTTGAGCTGTAACGTCTAAACTTAGCGGTAAATTGAAACTTGTCATGTTGCTAACGGAAGGTGTTAATTACGGGTGATTCGGGGCCCCCACGGCGATAATGAGTCCTGTCTTCTAGGAGGTAGCGCTGTGTGAAAGTCAACAGACGTTTCGGAGGTACATGTTCCTCCGGAAGGTCGGTTGACTTTCAGTAGGCTGCGCGGCGTTAGATCCTAAAACGCAGACATCTTAATTATTAAATACGTTACATAATAATGTTGGTCCCAGCTGTTATCCGTTTCCAACACCGTCCCCGATAGTCAGCTGAGTTAGCCTTACTTTCGCCTGGTATAGCCGGGGACAAGCCTACTAATGAGCGACCTTGTGGGAAGAAAATCAGCTGTGAGACACCAGGCGTGACTCGTCGAACATCACACGTAATTAAAACATTTGTCGTGCGAACTGTTGTTTATAATTAAGAACAATAACAATGGAGTAATGGGAATCATGATTGGCGAATCGCAAAGCAACGATAGTTGCGTACTAAGGAATGGTTCTACGTTTTGCAGATGGAATTTACCAGGCTCACGCCATAGGACAAAGACGTCTGTTGCTAGGGAAGGGCTTTGTTTTGAGTATTCCTGGTTAACTTCGGTTTAATCAAATTTGACTCGAATGTTATTGGCGTATTACGCACATTGCGATCTTTTTTAACGAATCCGTGCGAATTTGTACTAATTTTCCTTGCAGAAGATGAAGTTTTACGTCATCAGTATCTCTTAAATTTTCCTCGGTGACAAACGGATATCACGTATGTATATGCCGATCCCCCAAATCCCTAAAAGCACCAGATTAGCAGCCACGGAGAAGTGTGATGCGTCTCATATTGAGGATACCCTGTGCACATCAGTTTTATAACCACATGTTTCGTCGAAGGGGATACATTGTCTTTACTCGAACAGAAAGATAAATTGTGTTACTAGCAATAAAAAAAAATACTTATAAATGTTACTTTTCATTTGAACATACGCTTTATTGATGCTCATTTTATTTTGTAGTCACTCGAAAGAATGACAGAGGCTACATTTTCTTTATCCGCCGCTCGGATTTGTAATCTCTTAATACCATAACGACTTTGGACAATGCTGCCCATGCTGCAGTGAAAGTAGAATGGAGCTTGATACCTGATGGAACCGCACTGAAACTGGAAAACAAATATCAGATTTTTCTTTTCACGTTTCGAGAGGACATGAAAAAAAAAACATCTAAACATGTTCGATTTTAGGTCCCCGCGGAGGTAACTGTGAAGGTTTCGGTCTCCTAGATTGTGACACCGTGTAGTTTGGAGACAGCCCGATGTTCCAGAGAGCCGTATCGCCTCCATCTTCAGGGTAGAGAACTAAATCAAGCAAAAAAAAAACAAGCATACGCAGGAGTTAAAACTCAAGAAGTCGTATTTTTCCATAAACGTAAGTTTATTAAGAAATTCTGGCCGCTTACTCCGCATGAAAAAATAAAAATCGCTGTTGTCCTATTTATCAGTACTTGTACTAGCAAGACTCGACTGTAGCACGTATGCGCGTGCGAAACGGGTAAGGGGCGTCATTTCCTTTCTTTACGTCCCAGGAACTAGAAAACGACTAGGAGACAGAAACTTCGGTTTTCTAGTAGCGTGGAGCAATGTTGGTGCGATTGCGCAAATTCACCAGATACACAGGCTAGCTCTTTATGGAAGCCCCCTACTTCGTGACGTATGTACAGGAAGAAACAGGTCAAGCCTGCAGCTCTTGAAATAAAGTATAGTGGATGTTTGTCAACAGAAATACCGAACTGCACAATTTTAAGCAGTATTCGCAATTGAGACACAGTCATACCAGTCACACCTTATGATCGACCAAAATTTTATCCAATTTAAGAAAAACAAATTGTTCTAACAGGAATTTTATGTTCGCGGAAGAATTCTAAGTTTGTTATTGATATTATTATTATTTCGAAGAACGCGTTACCCAAGTACAGATTTTTTGTACGTTAAATATATCAGGCAGAAAGAGACCGCTGGGAAGACGAAGGCGCAGGTGGGTGGACAATATTAAAATTGATTTTAGAGAGATAGGATGGAATGGTATGGATTGGATTGATCTGGCTCAGGATATGGGCCAGTGGGTGGCTCTTGTGAACACGGTAATGAATCTTCAGGTTCCATAAAAATGCTGGGAAATTCTTGAGTAGCTGCTGTATTGGCGGCTGCTCCAGAAGGGCTCAGCGCCATGAGTAAGTAAGTAGGTAAATATGTCAGACAAGCTTCAAAGTTTGCGCAGTCGCCATGTTTGTAATCGCTGACTTAACAAAAAGTATCCCGCTCGGAATTTGCAGGTATTGACGTCCCATACCAAATTTCACGTGACTGGCCTGAGTGGTTTTCACCATCCAAGTAAAAACTAAATGTGAATTTCATGCAGCGGCCATTTTGTTGTTTTATGCCCTATAAAGAAGTAGCCGGGATAGCGTAGCGAGGGGTCGGAGTTGGAGTCCCGGTAGGGTCAAGAATTTTCTGTTCTCCAAATCGCCCAGACCGGCTCTTGGGTCCACCCAACCTCCTATCCAATGGGTACGGGGGGTTCTTTCTCCGTGGGTAAAGTTGCCGGGGCGTGAAGCCGACCACTGACCTCCATCTAGTGCCGAGGTCAAGAAAATGTGGATCTATACATCCACTCCCCCAAACGCCTTCATAGCGTAGTGCATAATTCGTTGAGCACAGGGACAACTTTAACTTTTAATTGCTAGTGGGGTGGGACTAAGTCCCTTGTACTGCAGCCACTTCTGGCCTATTGTACCAGCCCCAGATGATAGGTGAGGGTGATTGTGGAGCAGTTGGTAGAATGAAGATTGGCAGGGGAAACCGAAGTTCTAGGAGAAAACCTGCCCCAGCGCCACTTGTCCACCACAAATTCCACTTGACCAGACCCAGAATCGAACCCGGGTCGCCGCGGTGGGAAGCCAGCGACTAACCTCCTGAGCTATGGCGCGGCCTCCCAACTTTACCTTACTTTACACCCTATAAAGACACTTGCCTGTTCATCACTTCAGGACCGTATGCTAAGTGGCGATAATGGGTCTCCCTCCTCAAAACTTCGTCGTTACGTTGTTTTCATTACCAACTATAGAAAATTAAAAAGTGAGACTTTGAGGGGGATCTATAACATGTTTCGTTAAAATCGGTCAACTAACTGAACAGGTTCCTTTACCGGTAGCGCTCTAGATTTGTATTCGGGAGGTGCTCGGTTTGAATCTTGTCCATGATACCAAGTATACTGACCTGCCTTTTCCAGGTTTTCTCAGTCTCTCTAAAGGATAGTATCTCTCCAAGGTCACGGGCGCGTCCTTACGAATCGTCTTCCTATTATTCGACGCAATATAGGATAGCTATTGTCAGGTGTTGCGCTACAACCTCCCCCCTCTTCGGTTAGCTGGTTCAGAAGTTGAAATTATAATCCCATGAGGCCACTTTCCCTCAAGAAACATGATATATTAATCTCATTAATAACCACGACTCTGAGAAGTAGTGGATCTGGAACGGGGTTCACTCAGCCTCGTGAGGATAACTGAGGAGCTATTTCAAGGAAATAGTGGCTCCGGTCTAGAAAGCCGAAATTAACGGGCTTGGGGATCTGTTGTGCTGATCACATGACAGCATCTACCCGCCAAAGCTGACACTAACTTCGCCGACAAGCGGCGGTCGCTCTGTCGGTAAAGTTCGCTTGCGGACTCAAGCCAAGGATTTTTTTTTGTTTGTTTAATAACCACAACTTGTATTCGAAACCTTTTCCTTTCGTGAATAGATATTTTAACAAGATAAAGAGAATCGGTTGAAGTTTTTTCTTGCAGTAACAGCGATGTTTTCTGTTAAGATTCGCATGAATTTTATATTTGACAATATTACGGACATTGAAAGTGGTCACGTTCTGACAACGGTAACTGTGAAGAGTCCCGTGTTCTGTGGACGTGACGCCGTGTAGTCCGATAGAAGTTCACCGATGTTTCGGAGAAACTTACAGAATAAATTTGCTGGCTAATCTCTTGGACTTACTCTTCAGCCCTGAAAACGGAAGTAGTATGTGCCGCCGAAACTACGCCGTATCGATAAGCTGGTATGTAAACATGGAGCATAAACAAAGGTGGTCATGGCGACAGAACCTGGCACGTCTGTTGTTACCAAGTAAGGAAGGCAAACAGAAATACACGCACTGCGGCTTGTGGCTGCCAAAATGCGCTACCCGATTATTTTTAACCGCGCTCTGGCAACACAGGCTACAGCCTGTTTCACAAGGAACTGCACCATGCGTTCCTGTTCAGTTTTATTGTGCTCAACAAAACCTTCAACATCTTCCGTTATATCCCACTGTGGCTCTGCTGCCCTATGTTGGACCTTGGCCGCTGTCAGTTTCTTAATCTCTACACAGTCGGTTCCAGGGCCCTCTGTGATATTTCGTAACAACCAAGACGTAGGTGGGTGGACAATATTAAAATGGATCTCAAAGAAATAGGATGGGACAGTATGGATTGGATTGATCTGGCTCAGGATATTGTGAACACGATAATGAACTTTTGGGTTCAATAAAATGCTAGGAAGTTCTTGATTAGCTGCAGAATTGGCGTCTCCTCAAGAAGGGCTTAGCTCCATAAGTGATGCACAGTCGGTATGACTCCTTCAACGGGGGATGAGCCTGTCGCAATGCCGCTACATACATACAGAACAATAAAAACACAGAATAAACGCACACAGACATCCATGCCTTGAGTAGGATTCAAACCCACGACCCCAATGTTGAAGCGGGTAAAGACAGTTCTTGCCTTAGACGACGCGGCCACTGTGATCGGTCTCCGGTACATCCGGTCGTTGGAAATATATTACAAATTCGTATTTAAAATCCATGACGTCAGGATACTGAGCGTAGTGAACGAACAAGGAGTTGGCTGTGGGGCCCACCCAAACTCCCATCGAATGGGTGTCGGGATTAAAGCGGCCAGCGCTCGAAGGTGACCACTCACCTCCACCTAGTGTTGAAGTCAAGAAAATGTGGATCTATATAACCAGTCCCCCAGACACCTTCACAACTCTACGTTTTATCTGGAACTCAATGATTCGTTCCATTTGAGAATGGGGGAGGCGGGAGGGGGTCTCGACCCGCGCTCTGATGAACCGCGGTTAATGGGGTGACGGCGGTTGTGGTGTCTCCGAGTTTCCATTTGTTCTTTGAGTCCATCTGGAAAATTGGCGGCGGCACAGTGGCATACAGCGTGTCTTCCAGGACGTACGGCAGCCGACTCTTCGAAGGATCATATTTCCTCCATCTTCGAAGTCGAAGACTGGGTCAAGCAAGAAACTAGCACGAAGCGTGCTTCTCACTCGACGTTACATAATTATTGCTATGAACAAAGGGCTGGCGGCGCAGGAACATAAACTCGATTTCACGCGGAATTGCAAGAGAGCAGCTTCCACCGTACATCGCAATGTGTCATGTAGACCCGTTACTAAGTAATGACTCTGTAAACAACGGCCGTTGCTAGGTAATGGCCGCAGCAGATTCCTAACAGGCACCAATGGACCAACTGGGAAGCGGTGTTCTTTACGCGGTCCGTGCCTAGGCGTTATAAGAAGGACAAGTCTACAGTTTAGTTAGTGGGGACCCTTGTGGAGGTGGGGTCGAATGACTCCACCGTGACACTGCCAGTTATAGGAGGCGACGAAAGGAATTCTCAAATTTGAGACAGTAAAATATGGTCTCAAGTACCAAGGGACTCGAACCCGAGCAAGACTGTGCTGGCAAGAACCAGCAGCAAATAAAAAAGACAGACCCGTCCTCTCGTCAGAGAGAGCGCCCCACACACACAAAAAAAGAACAAACAATATCGTAACTGTCAAACAGTAATAAATGTCTGGTCGCAAACCCCAGATGGGTGTTTTATGCCAAGACAGACTGGCAGACTGACCGTCAGTCGTAAAATGAGACTCAGACCCAGTTTAGTTAGTTGTGAGGCAGTCGCTGGCCAGCAAGGGCGTGAACACGGAAGTTGAGGGATGTACGACGTTGGAAGCCGTTACCAGACAACGACTGGTGAAGAGACAGCCCACTCAGAAGACTTAATACATACTGTAGTGAGCTGTGTGAATTAGTGATAGCGCTATAGTTACTTGTAAGTGTTCAATTAATCCAATTACCAATCCAAACCGCGTTTGTAGTCACACTCCATCACGTGACAGTAAGGTGTTAAAAAGAATGCTATTAAAATGAATGAAGCAGAGGCAACTAAGCCAACAGGTAGCGGAAGACCGAGATTGAGGTTATTCGAAGATGTAGAGAATGATTTATGTGTGCTTGAACTGAAGAGGCAAAGGGCAGGTATTATTTTATTGTAGCACCCTGTCGCACTTTTCAAATTACTTCTACAGTCTTATGTGTAACAATTTATTAAAACCTAATGAAAGCTAGTGACTTTAAAAGTTTTCACGACATGTTTCGACCTAAATTGTCATCATCAGGTGTTAAAAGTTGAGGGTGAGGAAACTAATGTTTAGTTGTTGGCATGTGGCCCGCCTAGTGTGCACTGGGGGAATCACGTAAACATCAACGCAGAAAGACAGCAGTTTCCTCACACACAACTTTTAACACCCGATGATGACCATTTTTGTCGAAACATGTCGTGAAAACTTTTAAAGTCATTAGCTTTCATTAGGTTTTAATAAATTGTTACACATAAGACTGTAGAACTAATTTGGAAACACGCAGATATTATAATAAAACAATGAATATCTGTCGTGAAGAAAGGTAAGGTTCGTAGCGGGCCCTAGAGTAGGATTTTCTTTTCGCCCTCGTGTGATTCCATGGCGTAGGATAAACATTTGAAGAGAAGGTAAATTTTATACAGTGATAAAAATCTAACGATCGAATTGGCATAAAATTTCCCCGCATAGTAAAGTAAGTAAAGGTATCCCTGTAACAGTCCATGGAGGCCCATAGGGTTGAGATGTTGAGGTTCCCACATTTTCTAGACAATCGGTTAACAGATGGCCGTGAGGTTGTCAGCCTTACGTGCCGGATGCCCATTACCCCCAAGAATATTCCTGGTAGTCATTTTTGTTAGAGGCTGAGTCGACCCCAGGGTCATAGTGCGGCTGGAAGGATTAGGTCACTTGAAAAAAAATATCCACTTCATCGGGATTTGATCCCGGGACCTTCCGGTTTGTAGCATAGTGCCTCAACCAACTACGCTACCGCGTGCAGTAATTTGTGTGTTTGATATGTGACATAACCTGACTTTCTTCTTTGAGAGAGAGTCAGCGTGTGCAGAGGTGATGAAGATATCGCAACATTCCGTGGCGCTGGATTCAAGGCCGCCTGAAAGTCTGAGCGCAAAGCAAGTGAAACTCGCGTGACCTACTTCATGCTCCCAAGGTGGCTGCACGGCAGAGAGAACCGAGCATGACACTCTTAGCAGTATTGTGTTGAGAGGAAGGTAAGTACGCAGGCAGAGTAATGGCATTGCTTCAGCTTCAGACTTTTTGCAGTCTTTCAGATAAATTCCCCCGCTCCAAAGCTTCCTGCGCTTGTGNCGGGGGGGGGGGTATGGGAACGCGTGGACCATTGTAACGAATTCCGCCGCCGTGTTGATGTATGCGTTACGCATCGCCTCTCATTTCCTCGCTCGCGGCCAGGGTGACCCACTTGCAGGCCGGAACATCTTGACGTCCTGGTGATAGTGGGTTCCTGCTGTTTCAAGTATACGCCGATAGGAGTGGGTGACAGTAAAGCAGGGACTTATATAGTGGCTACTGGCCCGCTTTGGTTGCTGCCTGCGTCTTGCTGGTTACTTGCTTGGGCCTTGAAGATTGAAGCAGTATGTTCCTCCGAAACATCTTTGAGCTTCAACCAAAGTATATGGAGCCACATCCCAGGAATCTTCCTGAAGGTAAAGGGCGGCCAGCGCTTAAAGCTGACAACCTCACCGCCATCTGTGAGCCGACTCTTTAGAGAATGTGGGAGCCTCGACGTCTCACAACCCTATGGGCCTCCACGGTCTGTTATAGGGGTAGCTTTGCCTTTACCACATCCCAGAAGGTAGCATTCGAAGTAGTTAGCGTAATTTGAACCCACGACCCAAGAGATCATTTTCGATTATTGCATGACACAAGAGCTTATCGAGGGATGGTATTATGAGGAGTGCCAGGACGAATACTGTAACGCAGTTTTCTAGGAACGGTTTGCCTCAAATATCTCTGAAGGTACAGCATGCCTCGAGTAGACAACCTTACGGGGTGCAGGGAGGTGGTGTCTGCAGCGAGGTCCCTCGTATAGCGCTGATAGGGAGCATCGCTTGCAGCTTGCACGGTATAATATCACCCTTCACGAAATCAATAACATTTATGTCTATAACAATGCTACCCTTCACGAAATCAACATTTATGTCTATAACAATGCTACACTTCACGAAATCAATGACAGTTATGTCTATAACAGTGATACCCTTCACAAAATCAATGACAGTTATGTCTATAACAATGCTACCCTTCACAAAATCAACATTTATGTCTATAACAGTGCCTCCCTTCACGAAATCAACATTATGTCTATAACAATGCTACCCTTCACAAAATCAACATTTATGTCTATAACAATGCTACCCTTCACAAAATCAACATTTATGTCTATAACAATGCTACCCTTCACAAAATCAACATTTATGTCTATAACAATGCTACCCTTCACAAAATCAACATTTATGTCTATAACAATGCTACCCTTCACAAAATCAACATTTATGTCTATAACAATGCTACCCTTCACAAAATCAACATTTATGTCTATAACAATGCTACCCTTCACAAAATCAACATTTATGTCTATAACAATGCTACCCTTCACAAAATCAACATTTATGTCTATAACAATGCTACCCTTCACAAAATCAACATTTATGTCTATAACAATGCTACCCTTCACAAAATCAACATTTATGTCTATAACAATGCTACCCTTCACAAAATCAACATTTATGTCTATAACAATGCTACCCTTCACAAAATCAACATTTATGTCTATAACAATGCTACCCTTCACAAAATCAACATTTATGTCTATAACAATGCTACCCTTCACGAAATCAACATTTATGTCTATAACAGTGCCACCCTTCACGAAATCAACATTATGTCTATAACAATGCTACCCTTCACAAAATCAACGTTTATGTCTATCACAATGCTACCCTTCACGAAATCAATGACAGTTATGTCTATAACAGTGATACCCTTCACAAACTCAATGACAGTTATGTCTATAACAGTGCTACCCTACACAAAATCAACATTTATGTCTATAACAGTGCCACCCTTCACGAAATCAACTTTATGTCTATAACAATGCTACCCTTCACAAAATCAACATTTATGTCTATAACAATGCTACCCTTCACAAAATCAACATTTATGTCTATAACAATGCTACCCTTCACAAAATCAACATTTATGTCTATAACAATGCTACCCTTCACAAAATCAACATTTATGTCTATAACAATGCTACCCTTCACAAAATCAACATTTATGTCTATAACAATGCTACCCTTCACAAAATCAACATTTATGTCTATAACAATGCTACCCTTCACAAAATCAACATTTATGTCTATAACAATGCTACCCTTCACAAAATCAACATTTATGTCTATAACAATGCTACCCTTCACAAAATCAACATTTATGTCTATAACAATGCTACCCTTCACAAAATCAACATTTATGTCTATAACAATGCTACCCTTCACAAAATCAACATTTATGTCTATAACAATGCTACCCTTCACAAAATCAACATTTATGTCTATAACAATGCTACCCTTCACAAAATCAACATTTATGTCTATAACAATGCTACCCTTCACAAAATCAACATTTATGTCTATAACAATGCTACCCTTCACAAAATCAACATTTATGTCTATAACAATGCTACCCTTCACAAAATCAACAATTATGTCTATAACAATGCTACCCTTCACAAAATCAACATTTATGTCTATAACAGTGCCACCCTTCACGAAATCAACATTATGTCTATAACAATGATACCCTTCACAAAATCAACATTTATGTCTATAACAGTGCCACCCTTCACGAAATCAACATTATGTCTATAACAGTGCTACCCTACACAAAATCAACATTTATGTCTATAACAATGCTACCCTTCACAAAATCAACATTTATGTCTATAACAATGCTACCCTTCACAAAATCAACATTTATGTCTATAACAATGCTACCCTTCACAAAATCAACATTTATGTCTATAACAATGCTACCCTTCACAAAATCAACATTTATGTCTATAACAATGCTACCCTTCACAAAATCAACATTATATCTATAACAGTGATACCCTTCACGAAATCAATGACAGTTATGTCTATAACAGTGCCACCCTTCACGAAATGAATAACATTTATGTCTATAGCGATACAACTGTTACGAGAGAGAGTGACTATAAACGGGGTTTGGTTTGGTGACTCAGTTTATTGAACTGTTTCAAATGTCATATACACAATCTATAAATAACCAATGCTGCCAACAACTGTTATTTCTTCACTATTCATTCCTTGGTACCACCTTCCAACAATAGGAATTCGGCCCAAAATGTCAACCCGTTGAACTTGGGTGGCTGTGTGTCGGTTCCCCTGCTCCCACAACATAACAAGCCGAACTTGGGCTTCTACACAGGCCGTTTACATGTTCAGCTCGCTTCGTGTGTTTTATAGCAGGTCGATCTGTGTTCCTTCACCTGATCCGTATATCGCAATGTGTTTAGAAAGTATTCACACTAGCTCATTCCAAGACTAATCATCACTATCATACATGTTTTAGATTTTTTCCTGATGAAGGAGCCTCTGAGCACCTGGGTGAGCTTTCTGTCTCGAAATGGGAGATGCACACCTTTCCTGCCAAACGCCCTGATACAAACCTGTAGGGCTAGAAGTGACTTGATAGTCTCCACAATTTCCATTCTTGTCTGACTGTTCGTAGAAGACATATCTGCTGCCATCTCGTTGCAGCTAGATCGATCAATGAGAACTTGTCATGAACGTACTGGACGCCAGGCGTCCGGACCATAATCTGGAGTACTTGGAGGAGCTCATCCACTCAGTCAGACCCTTGATCTGCACTTGCTGCTTGTCATCTTCAAGGATGCGCAGTTTGGCATTATTCGCCAACAGATCGAAGACCTCGCTGCTGTAGATCTCAAAGAAGCTTGCAGATACCGTCACGATCAGGTCGTTATGCTCAGGTGACTTGAGGAACATCTTCGGCGACCATGGCGTAGATTCGTTTCTTGCAGACTTGTATCTTACCCTGGAAGTCACCGCCCATTGTCTGAGTTTTGCCACTTCCTGTCTGCCTATGCGCAAAACACGGAGACTGTTTGGACTAGAGGCTTTGCTGTGTACTTGTCTGAAGCGTTGGCTCTCCAACGCTTTGAGTTTGGGCTCATGTACAGCCATTCCGTCTTTACTGGGCACCGAGACCACCTCCACCTCCTTGTTGAGCGGCCTCCTCCTCCTGCAAACTGCAATCTGACGCTCGCAGGGGATGGAACCCAGTACTGTCACGGCACTCCAGGAATTCCCAGTTGGGGTTCCCGTGATACATTCTCATGTGAAACGTCTTCTCTTCTTGCAGTTCTTTCTGTGTTCCTCTTTGTTGTTATTCAGTCGCTGAACCACCTTCATCACATTACTGTTCCTCCCCGTGCTGCTGTTGAAGTTGCAGCTGGGTCGAAGTCATAAACGCTGCAAGCAGTGGCAACGTTCTGTTGGTCTGCAGGCCAATTCAGAGCAACAGTCCCCTGGACGCCGTCCGTGGTCTCATCACACTCGGACTACGTGGAGGTGATCGCGGCCTCCACCCATTCTTGGCTGGCAGTCATGAAAGTGATCATCTTGGTTTCCTTCCTTTCTTGATTGGTCCCCTTCCTGGTCTCCAGCCTTTCTTGATTGGCCTCCATCTTGGCCTCCAGCCTTTCTTGATTGGCCTCTATCTTGGCCTCCAGCCTTTCTTGATTGGCCTCCATCTTGGCCTCCAGCCTTTCTTGATTGGCCTCCATCTTGGCCTCCAGCCTTTCTTGATTGACCTCTATCTTGGCCTCCAGCCTTTCATGATTGGCCTCTATCTTGGTCTCCAGCCTTTCTTGATTGGCCTCTATCTTGGCCTCCAGCCTTTCTCGATTGGCCTCTATCTTGGCCTCGGCCTTTCTTGATTGGCCTCTATCTTGGTCTCCAGCCTTTCTTGATTGGCTTGGCCTCCAGCCTTTCTTGATTGACCTCTATATTGGTCTCCAGCCTTTCTCGATTGACCTCTATCTTGGCCTCCGGCCTTTCTTGATTGATTTCTATCTTGGTCTCCAGCCTTTCTTGATTGGCCTCTGTCTTGGTCTCCAGCCTTTCTTGACTGGCCTTCAGCTTCT